TCTGGCTCGCGGAGGCGTAGGCACGGAGGTGCTGCAAACACGACAGCCTTTGACAATGCGGTCGTACTTGTCATAGATCTCTCCTGGCAGCCCAAGCATGCTGGTCCTGCGTCGAAACTGAGCAGGACTCATGTGGTAATGCTTCACATGCAACTTGTAAAGCTCAACATCATTGTTCAGCTTTTCCAACATGCGCTGATACTGCGGAGAAGCCCTTGAAACCTCGTGGCCTGGCAATGGAAGCGCGATCCTCCTAGGTTCTAGCGACTGTGGCTCTGGGGCCCTCGGAGGAAGCAAATCTGCATCCCCCGGCTCGGACGGTTCGTACTCTTGAAGATCCGGATCATCCTCAGGAGCAGGAGGAGAAGGAGCCGGTTCCTTGGGTTCCTTTCCCTGTGGAAAGCTTCCCTTGGCTCGAATTCTTCTTCTCTCCGGTACCTTTCCCTGAGGAAAGCTTCCGGATGCTCCTGTGTTCTTCGAGCTGTCTTCAGGTTTACCTGTGCTAACCATATCCTCTGGAGATCCTACCTTGCCACGGGTTGGATCCTTGGTCTTAGCCGGCACCGAGGTTCTACTCTCTATGCCACCAGGCAGAATCTTGAAAATGGTCTTGCCTTTCCAAGAGTCAGTAGTTCTTGTTGAAGAAAGCTCAGAAGAACGCCAGTCATCTTCTTGAGTAACGCTCTTTCCCTTGGAGAACTCCATAATCGTCTTGCGCTTGGTGTCCAGATACTCCAACGGAATAGGCACAAAACCCGCCTTGGGTTCGTACTTGACCCTTCTCATTTTCTTGTGGATGCGAATCATCTCCATGTCGGCTTCATTGATCACCCACTCATCATCCGTTGCCAAAGCGAAATTCTTGGGTACCTCTTCCTGAGAAGAGCATCCCTCGGTCTTCTGATGGAAGCCGTACTCGTAATGGGAGAAGTAGGTGAGGAAGCTCGACTTCTTATGCTTGCTGAAACGCACATTCCACATCAACTGACTGAGTTCAAGAAGGTCAAGTACTAGGTGTGAGCTCGGTGCAACCTTCAGCCTCACATCCTTGATTCCCAGCACAGGGCTGCTGAGCAAGGCCTTTTCCGGATGGAGCTCAAACTGGAAACGAAGATTGCGCATCTGAGGCAAGGACATGAGAATGGGAACATGCCCTTGTTCCACAATGTCGAACTCTGTGGATTGAACTGCAAAGTCCCGGTCGTACATGCAAATGACCAACTTCTGGTTGCATTTGGTCGACTCGGAATTGGCAAAGGTGAACTGAGAAGTGGTCTCAGCAATGGTGTACCATATGCCGCAGTTCTGATTCTTGTCACAAAACTCCATGAGGTCCTGTGCGGCCACTCTCGAAGCCATTGCTCTCGTGCATCCCAAGTCCAACACCATTGCGGTTGGCGTCAAGGGCTGAGAGATGAAGGCTTCCTCGATCTCATTGATCTTCTCTTCGGTGGCCATGAAAGAAAGGTTCGGAGTGTTGAGATGTTCAACGAAGAAGGTTGTAGCGGCTGTGGTGCCGCTCGGGGCAGCATCAGCAAGCTGGCTCTGTCCGTCCTTCCCGGACTTTCCATCTTTTCCATCCTTGCCAAACTTGCTCTTTCCTTTGCCCTTCTTTCCTTTCTTACCTTTTCCTTTGGCTGCCTAGGATTCCTCAGACTCGTACCAGGACCAGTCATCCCAGGACTGATCGTTCCACTGGTAATCTTGCCACTGTCCTTCTGCCTGCCATGCTTCTGATTCTTCGGCAAGATGGGACCTGCCTTTCTTCCTTTTGAAAAAGCGCCTTCCTTTTGATCCTTTGCCACCTTTTCCTTTGCCTTTGCGGTGGCCTTTGAATCCGCGCTTCATCTTGCGGCCTTGGAAACGCCGCTGGAACCATGAGTAGTTCTCGTCGTCGTAGACCCAGAAGGCGTCCTCATCCGCTTCGAGGAAACCTTCCGTGCCATCCTCCTCGTCCTCGACCCAGAAGCCTTCGTGATTGTCAAGAAATCCTTCATCGATCACAAGGAACGTCTTACGGCCACCGTGGCCCGAGGGAGCGAGAAGTGGGTTGTCGACGGTAGTCTTGGTCGTGCAGAAGATCTCCAGGTAGACTTCGCGAAGCTCGGCCGTGTTGTAGTCAGCCAGGACTCGATTCCGATGTGCCATCAGTGATGTCAGCACCTGCCGCTGGTCCTGTGTCAGGTCCGACAGGGACACAAAGATCAAGGCGACCAGGTTGGGCGTGATCGGAATGGTCCGAGCATGCTGCTCTCTGAGCCGTTCGTTGGCTCTCTCCATTGCCTGAGCTGGCGTAATGTCTGCTTGTTCTTCTTGAGGAAGTCCTACTATGAAAGCTCTGACCTCTGCATTGTTCGGATCCTCGATGGGCAGATAGGTATCGTTCCACGCTTCTTGCATTCTCTGAACAGAGAGTTGAAACCTGGTAATCCAACGAAGCATGTCTCCGTTCCCGCGGTGCATGTTCATGAACTGCTGGAAGCGGTAGAGAAAAACATTCGCTGCTCCTTTCACGAAGAGCGGCCGCAGGAATTCTTGAAGTACTTAACTCCGTTGTTCGGGTCCTTCAGGCGATCTCTGTCGAGAAGCCTCTTGTGGATTGCTGCTTCACCTTCTAACCGATTTCTCAAAGCTTGTCCACGCTTATCATTGTCTAGCTCAGTAATGTCACACCAGTCATCGATCGCATCTTCGTAGGCAAACCAACTGCTTCTACCATCATAAGATGGAAGTACTTTGGTGGTCACCTGCTGGAAAGCTGAAAGACGGTGTAGTTCATTGAGATGACGATGATTCGTCGCGTAAGATTCATTGCCGTGAAGGAGGTAGTCTTCATCTCCTCCATCGTGCTCAAAGATAGTCGCAGAGTGGCTAGCCATCGCGCTGTTCTTGGATCGAGCCCCGGGAGAAAACTCTTCCGGTTATCTTCACCTGAGTGAAGTGTGCCGGAGAGACTCCGGTCACCTTCACCTGAGTGAAGCACACCGGGTATTCCGGTTGCCTCCACCTGTGTAGAGTGTACCGAACGGGTACCTCCACAAGTGTGAAGCTTCCCGTTTTCCCGGGAGCTCCGCTACCACGTTGAGATGTAACCTGGACGTGTATCCCCTCGCTAGGCGTACAGGAACACAGGCACTCAGGTGTCTCTTTTGCTACAGGCGCACAGCTGTAGTCCACTGCACTAGAACCTTGAGCAACAGGCATGGATACATGCAAGTGATACGTGAAACAGACAGGCACCTGGATGTGTAACATTCAGTGTTTCACCCCCCACCCTTGTCAAGCCGAGCCACGCGTTCCACACTTGGATCTCCTTCCGCCGATGCGAGGCGAAGGTGGGGTCCTCCACTCGGCAGGATTATGTAAGAAGGGTCCCCTTGAAGGGGTCTCCCTAATGCTAGCTAGGACTTATACTGACAAGCTTTAACAGAACACATGAGCCTTTAGGCTTTCAGGGTTTAGGAGCTTATCCTGGGCCCAAAAAACCGAGCTCTGAAATAAAACCCTAAACCCTAAACCCTCTAAACCCAGGCCAAGAAGTCCACTTCATGCTATGCCTAAACTCACCAAAGCACGAAAGGAAGCACAACCCGAAAGTCCAACCCCTGAACCCTACGTAAAACCCGATAACCCTAACAGCCCAAAGCCCTAGAGCCCTAGAGCCCTAAAACCCTAAAGCACAAAAGCCTAAACCGTGCAGGGCCTGCACAACCACATCTCCGAAGATGGTCACAAGCATGTAGACGCTATGGACCTCATCTCTCCCCCAGCTCTTTGGAGAAGTTGAGACTGTCGGTCTTCAGCTTAAAGGTTTTAAGATATCAGCGCTGCGGGGTTTTGAGGTTGGCGGTTTCAGGGCGGTTTCAAGGGTCAGGGTTTTAGGCTTAGGGTTTAGGGTTTCAGGGTCTGGCTTTAGGGTTTCGGTTGGTTCGGGGTTTCGGGTTTTAGGGCTTGGGTTTTCGGGCTTCGGGTCCAAGGCTAAGGCTTCGGGTTGAGGCTTTAGGGTACACGGTTGAGAGTTTAGGGTCTGAGGTCTATTGCTTTTAGGATGTCGGTTGTTTAAGGCTGGATCGGATTCATGGGTTTGAGGTGTGCAGTCTATGTGCCACTGTGTCAGCTTGTGGCATTTATAGAATCAGCACTCGAATGCTGCGACCACAGCAGATCGCGAGGAATAGGTCGGTGTCGCGATTGACGAACTGGGTAAGTCCTGCGAACTGGGGTATTGGGCTTTAGGCACACAGGGTACTGAAGTAAGGGTCTTAGTCTTTCGGTTTGGGGTTCAGGTTGTCGGTAGTGACGGGGCCCTGTATTGCATTGTATTACGACAAAAACGAGTATACAGTTTCAAACTATTCTGCGAATATGCAAAACCTTAGCATGATATACTGTAAGAGCACTGCAACAATAATGAGGAACCCTACTGCAAGCAAAAACATCGACAATTCTTCCGATAAACCCCAAACCCTAAACTGCAAACTCTAAACCCCAAACCGTATACCCCAAACTCTAAATGTAACTAAACCCTGGAAGTATTGGTGCTTTGTGCTTTCGGTCTCGGGTGAAAGGGAGTTAGTGCTCAGGGTTCAGGCCTTAGGGCGTTGTAATGTAGTGGTAAGCAAACACGTCTCTGCTTCGGGTTTAGGGTTCAGGGTTTGCGGTTTAAGTTTGTTTTAGGGTATAGGCTTTGGGATTTTAGGTTTTAGGAGCTTTTAAAGGATGGTATAAAGGGTTTCAGGGATTGTGCTGTCTGAACCTTCCTCTGCATACTCTGCCACATCCACGCCGGAGTGCAAATGACATGCGGGCCTGAATAAGCTATTTCGGGTATCCTTGCAAATTACAACTATCGTGTCATGTACTGCAAAAACCCTATCCAAATTTTTCAGGCCCCCCATATTAGGCACATGATGATTTCGACAAGTCCCTTCATATATCCCAGCCTGCTCCTGAAAAGCCACGCATCTTTTCGCTCACAGCCAATCCCCTAATGAGCATCATCAACTACGGCGATATTTGCAGTTGTGGCATTCGCAGTCGCTCTTGTGGCGGTAATAGATCAGCCACCGCACTAATGACTGTTGCTCTTTGTACACCACAAACTCTCGGTGGTCCACCACCCCCCCGTTCTGCAAGTTCTCGGCTGTCACGGAATCACAACCCTCTGGTGCCCTTTTCCACGAGCGGAAATCTTTCTTCTTCTCTGCATAGTCTTTCCGAACTTGTGCTGTCACGACCTTCGTTTCCCCCAACAGAACCCGTACAACAAGAATACATCGCTCTGCTTGAGGATGCTTGCAGTCCTTGCATGAGCTGCACTCTGAACATGTCGTGTAGAAGTCCGACTTCGATGCGTTTTCTGCAAAGTAAGCTCCTGTCCCAAACATGTTTCCAGCAGCTTCTCCTCCACGTTGCGGGTCCAATCCTTTCTCCAGGATGCTGTCAACGGCGCCACTGGGGCAGCCGTGGAACAACAAATATTCATTGAGGTTCACATGTCCATAATCGCACATGAAAGCTGAAATTCCATGTGGAGGCTCGCAACCAGCAGGCCTGCTGCGCGCGAGACCTTCTCGTGCATGTCGATACAGGCCTTGAATGTACGGGTTCATAATCTCACGAATTCTGGTGATCTCCACCTGCGGTGGGTCACAAAACTGGTCTGACTGTAACGATTCTCGATGGCGGGTCATTGAAGCCACGAAAACGCTACAGAGGGCGCTGTGCATCAAGGCAGGCACATCCCAGTGATACAGGCCGCAGCCCGCAGGAGAAGCGGTATCAACATCCGGAAGCCTAGATAGAAGCTGAATGGTAAGCTGCTGCCTGAGACTCCTTAAGTGCTGTTGCTCAACCGCCTTTCTCTCGGAAAGCTGTTGCGCAAGAATCCTAACCTGCTCTTGCTCAGCAGCTTTTTCTTCAGACAGCTGTTGGGAAAGCAGCTGTTGCTTCGAAAGCTGCTGGGAGAGACGCCTGTTCTGTTCTTGATACTCAGCCTTTTGCTCAGACAGCTGCTGGCACTGTGCTTGCTCCTCGGAAAGATGTTGGGAGAGACATCTCAGCTCCTCCGCCTTTTGCTTCGACAGCCTTTCGGCAAGTGCCCGCTGCTTGCAAAGTTGTTCGCAGAGATGCTTGATTTTGCTGTTGTCAACAGCCCTGTTTTCCGACAAGGCTTGGGAGAGTGACTGCTGCTCGGATAGCTGCTTGGAGAGACGCCTTATCTGCTCTTGGTCAGCAGCCTTTTGCTCCGACACCTGAGTGTGATCAAAGGCTTGCTGCTCCGAAAGCTGTTGTGAAAGCCTCTTAATCTGCTCTTGGTCTTCAGTCTTTTGTCTTGACAATTCTCGCGAAAGTTCCTGCTGCTCGGACAGATGCTTGGCGACACGCTCCATCTGCTTTGTCCCAGCTGCGACAAGCTCAAAAAACTGTTGAGAAAGTGCATGCTGCTCAGAAAGCTGCTTGGAAAGACAAGAAATCTGTTCCTGCTGAAGGGCATGGATGATCCGAAGATGGTTCACTGTGGCATCCCCATCCACAACCATCACCCTTCGAAGCCTCCTTCCGACTCCAGTTGCTCTGTTCCTCTGGCTGTATTTCTCAACATCCACGTCATAGATGTGGTGCCCCAAACTGACTTCACAGCTTGAGTGACCTGCGTTGTGCGCATGTTCGAGAGACACCGTAAACTCTTCTGCAGCAGGCCTCCACTTATCGCCATCGAGGTATTCCCATTGAGGCCTCTGCAGTGGGATTGGTGCGGATATGGGATCAGTTTGAACCGCCGCCGCTGCCACCTGTTCTCTGCAGCAAGAAATGCCCTCCCAAGCTGACTCCCAAGTGTTGAAATCGATGGTGCTCGCGATCACTCGGTCGATGACGTCGTCGAGGCGAAACCAGTAGTCTGGGTGGCCCTTGCAGAAGACTGCAAAGGCAGTCGGTGCAATCATCTCGTTCTGATCAAGTAAGCTTCGCGATGATGCACCGGCTGCTTGTTGGCCGTGCCCGGAACGCAACTACACCTACTCTGACTCTTCACACACACACTCTGACCGTGCACTAACATCTGTGAACGCACTGCATTCATAGCTGCTCCAGTCAGCCCTTATTAGCCATTAACATCACTTCGGCACGAGCTCTCTTGAGAATCAGGCATACAACAAGCAGACACATTTCCGACAGCAACAACTACTCGCCACGAAGCAGCAGCGGTCGGTCCTCCTCGGTGCTTGTAGCTGGTGGCGCCAAGGCTGTCATTGCCAAAAAGCCGCTTTCTCTGTAGCCGGGTCTTTTGGGGCTGCCGTTTGTAGGTCGAATCCTTACGTAAGGTTTCGTGTTTATGGTTCAGGATATAAGGGTATGGGCTTTAGGGTCTAGGGTCTAGGGTTTCGGGTTTAGGGTATAAGGGTTTAGGGTTTACACTTGGGGTTTGAGGTTTAGGGCTTGCTTGTGTGGATAGGTGTAGGAACGCGAAATTTGAAACCCTCGGTCTCGGAGATTTAGGATTTAGGGTTCACCCATAGGCCCCATAGTAGTTCCTTTTTGGGATTACCTTACAGGGTTCTGAATATGAAACCCGAAAAGGAATTACCATGGGGTTTTGGGTTTTGGGATCTTCAAAGCCCAAGAGCTTTACAGCTTAAGACCTGAACATGGGTGGCTGTCATAATTATGGTCCCCTTTTGGGTCATTATGAGAGTACGGCACCTAATATTAATAATTATTCAAGGTACCCAAAAAGGGACCTTGATTTTAACAACTACCCATATCTTCTGAAGTCGCGGAACCCCAAGAGAAGGCTTAGCACACAGCTGGTAGAAACTGAAGCTCTCTACAGCATGGGACTTGGTAATATAGAGGCTTCAATGGCCTTAACAGTTGAGGTTTACTGGGCCCTTCTAAATTAGGGTCCCGTTTTGGGTCCCCAGTATAGTACGGCACTCTTATAAAAACGACCCTCAAAGGGACCCTAATTTAGAGAACCACGTACCCTCATCTTCCGAGACGTATAAGCTATGCTACGATGTACTTACCGTCTGCAGAGATGAGATTTTGGGAAAGTTCCGCCGATGACATGCTGGCTAAAGCCCCTCTTTTTCTGTTTGGTTTGGGGTTTAGGGCTTAGGGCTCAGGGCTTAGGGTTTAAGGCTTAGGGATTAGGGTTTAAAGCTTAGGGCCACCACCAAAGGAGCTGGGAACCCGGCAAGAAATGCGGAGAGGATGAGCCCGACTCCAAAGTTCAGCGAACATCCGCAGCCACAACTGGATGTGGGGCTTTGGGGCTTTAATGGTTACCCTAAGGCTCCATAGTAGTTCCTTTTTGGGGTTCGTATGTAGAATCCTATAAGGTAGCCCCAAAAAGGAACTAATGGTTAAGGCCTTAGAAATTAGGGGGCTTTAATGGTTAAGGCCTTAGGGATTAGGGTTTAGGGAACTGGATGTGGGGCTTTGGGGCTTTAATGGCTAAGGCCTTAGAAATTAGGGTTTAGGGTTTAGGGTGCAGGTCTGCGAAGAAACTTAGAGAATTGAAGATTCATGCACTTTACGCATGATGTGCTGCAAACGGCACAGCCGACGCGCAAACAACAGAAAGCATGCCAAGCCACCATACTCAGCCAGCAGGACGGTGTGTGTCTCACAAGCGTTTTCCACAACGCACTCCAACTGGAGCACTAGGGTCTGCCGAATGGAAACTTGAAGACTCAACCTTGAATGGTGAATTCGCAGCGACAAACGACACGCAAAGAACACAAAACATGCCAAGCCACCATACTCAGCCAGCAGGACGGTGTGTATCTCACAAGCGTTTTCCACAACGCACTCCAACTGGAGCACTAGGGTCTGCCGAATGGAAACTTGAAGACTCATCCTTGAATGGTGCCTTCGCAGCGACAAACGACACGCAAAGAACAGCAAGCATGCCAAGTCACCATACTCAGCCAGCAGGACGGTGTGTAACTCACAAGCGTTTTCCACAACGCACCCCAACTGGAGCACTAGGGTCTGCCGAATGGAAACTTGAAGACTCATCCTGGAATGGTGCCTTCGCAGCGACACAGACGACACGCTAACAACAGAAAGCATGCCAAGCCACCATACTCAGCCAGCAGGACGGTGTGTAACTCACAAGCGTTTTCCACAACGCACTCCAACTGGAGCACTAGGGTCTGCCGAATGGAAACTTGAAGACTCATCCTTGAATGGTGAATTCGCAGCGACAAACGACACGCAAAGAACAGCAAGCATGCCAAGTCACCATACTCAGCCAGCAGGACGGTGTGTAACTCACAAGCGCTTTCCACAACGCACTCCAACTGGAGCACTGGGGTCTGCCGAATGGAAACTTGAAGACTCATCCTTGAATGGTGAGTTCGCAGCGACAAACGACACGCAAAGAACAGCAAGCATGCCAAGTCACCATACTCAGCCAGCAGGACGGTGTGTAACTCACAAGCGTTTTCCACAACGCACTCCGACTGGAGCACTAGGGTCTGCCGAATGGAAACTTGAAGACTCATCCTTGAACGGTGCCTTCGCAGCGACAAACGACACGCAAACAACACAAAACATGCCAAGCCACCATACTCAGCCAGCAGGACGGTGTGTATCTCACAAGCGTTTTCCACAGCGCGCTCCGACTGGAGCACTAGGGTCTGCCGAATGGAAACTTGAAGACTCATCCTGGAATGGTGCTTTCGCAGCGACAAACGACACGCAAAGAACAGAAAGCATGCCAAGTCACCATACTCAGCCAGCAGGACGGTGTGTAACTTACAAGCGTTTTCCACAACGCACCCCAACTGGAGCACTACGGTCTGCCGAATGGAAACTTGAAGACTCATCCTGGAATGGTGCCTTCGCAGCGACAAACGACGGGCAAACAACAGCAAGCATGCCTAGCGACCATACTTAGCCAGCAGGACGGTGTGTAACTCACAAGCGTTTTCCACAACGCACTCCAACTGGAGCGAAAGGGTCTGCCGAATGGAAACTTGAAGACTCATCCTTGAATGGTGCCTTCGCAGCGACAAACGACGCGCTAACAACAGAAAGCATGCCAAGCCACCATACTCAGCTAGCAGGACGGTGTGTAACTCACAAGCGGTTTCCACAGCGCGCTCCGACTGGAGCACTAGGGTCTGCCGAATGGAAACTTGAAGACTCATCCTGGAATGGTGCCTTCGCAGCGACAAACGACACGCAAACAACACAAAACATGCCAAGCCACCATACTCAGCCAGCAGGACGGTGTGTAACTCACAAGCGTTTTCCACAGCGCACTCCGACTGGAGCACTAGGGTCTGCCGAATGGAAACTTGAAGACTCATCCTGGAATGGTGCCCTTCGCAGCGACAAAAACATGGAAACAACAGAATGCATGCCAAGCCACCATGCTCAGCCAGCAGGACGGTGTGTATCTCACAAGCGTTTTCCACAACGCACTCCAACTGGAGCACTAGGGTCTGCCGAATGGAAGCTTGAAGACTCATCCTGGAATGGAGCCTTCGCAGCGACAAGCGACACGTGTGTAACTCACAAGCGTTTTCCACAATGCACTCCAACTGGAGCACTAGGGTCTGCCGAATGGAAACTTGAAGACTCATCCTTGAATGGTGAATTCGCAGCGACAAACAGCAAGCATGCCAAGCCACCATACTCAGCCAGCAGGACGGTGTGTAACTCACAAGTGTTGTCCACAACGCACTCCAACTGGAGCACTAGGGTCTGCCGAATGGAAACTTGAAGACTCATCCTTGAACGGTGCCTTCGCAGCGACAAACGACACGCTAACAACAGAAAGCATGCCAAGCCACCATACTCAGCCAGCAGGACGGTGTGTAACTCACAAGCGTTTTCCACAGCGCGCTCCGACTGGAGCACTAGGGTCTGCCGAACGGAAACTTGAAGACTCATCCTGGAATGGTGCTTTCGCAGCGACAAGCGACACGCACGCAACAGAAAACATACCAAGCCACCATACTCAGCCAGCAGGACGGTGTGTAACTCACAAGCGTTTTCCACAACGCACTCCAACTGGAGCACTAGGGTCTGCCGAATGGAAACTTGAAGACTCATCCTGGAATGGTGCCTTCGCAGCGACAAACGACACGCAAAGAACAGCAAGCATGCCATGTCACCATACTCAGCTAGCAGGACGGTGTGTAACTCACAAGCGTTTTCCAGAGCGCACTCCAACTGGAGCACTAGGGTCTGCCGAATGGAAACTTGAAGACTCATCCTGGAATGAAGCCTTCGCATCGACAAGCGACACGCAAAGAACACAAAACGTGCCAAGCCACCATACTCAGCCAGCAGGACGGTGTGTATCTCACAAGCGTTTTCCACAACGCACTCCAACTGGAGCACTAGGGTCTGCCGAATGGAAACTTGAAGACTCATCCTTGAATGGTGAATTCGAAGCGGCAAACGACACGCAAAGAACAGCAAGCATGCCAAGTCACCATACTCAGCCAGCAGGACGGTGTGTAACTCACAAGGGTTTTCCACAACGCACTCCAACTGGAGCACTAGGGTCTGCCGAATGGAAACTTGAAGACTCATCCTTGAATGGTGAATTCGCAGCGACAAACGACGACGCAAAGAACAGCAAGCATGCCAAGTCACCATACTCAGCCAGCAGGACGGTGTGTAACTCACAAGCGTTTTCCACAACGCACTCCGACTGGAGCACTAGGGTCTGCCGAATGGAAACTTGAAGACTCATCCTGGAACGGTGCCTTCGCAGCGACAAACGACACGCAAACAACAGAAAACATGCCAAGCCACCATACTCAGCCAGCAGGACGGTGTGTATCTCACAAGCGTTTTCCACAGCGCGCTCCGACTGGAGCACTAGGGTCTGCCGAATGGAAACTTGAAGACTCATCCTGGAATGGTGCTTTCGCAGCGACAAGCGACACGCAAAGAACAGAAAACATGCCAAGCCACC